GATTTTTAGGAATGGCGTCATGGTATAGACATTTCATTCCCCAACTAGCCACCTTAGCAGAGCCCTTAAACAAATTGTTGAGGACAAACGTTTCCTGGGAATGGGATGAGAGCCAACAAATCGCGTTCGACAGTATTAAAGGCGCTTGTATACCTCCCCGTTTTTGAGTATATTCAGAAACGTGAAACAGTTTTCTAAGTTGAAATGAGTTTTCTAACTAGGAGAACGTGATAGAAAATTCATGTATGGCGGGATGGTTTGAAAATCTATTATTGATAATTGCAATTAGTGAAATATATAAAGTTTTAGAGAAGAAATAAATTTGCATTATAAAATAAAATAATGTAATTAAATTTTTTTGTTAATTTGTTTTGTTAAAAAGTGAAAATAGTGCAAGAGAAATGTGATAAAGTGTTTGCAGTTGTGATGAAGGTGATGTTTTCAGGAAAGGTAATGCGTACCACACGTTTTCTCGTCGAGGAGTCTATTACTATTGTATTTATTAATTAGTTTATTTACTAAGTAATTACTATACTAATTACTATTTATTAAGTGTACAATGGAAACGTCAGAAATTGAGGCAATATATTTTTTATTAAATTTATTAATCGTCTCAATATTATTCACAGGATATATTTAACAAATGCGTGCATTATTTGTAGGTTAGGATATTGACACTTGTTGATTTTATTTTTTGTAACTTCTTTATATATATATAAATTTATTTGTCACTGAAATTATGTAGTAAAATTATTAAATATTTTCATTTCAATTTGCAGATACTCTAAAATATTCTTAAAATTATGAGAAAAATTTGGCAAATGGGCATCATTAAACTTTACTTATTTCTTATAGATTCACGCTTTTCACTTTATTGTAACAAAATGTGAAATATATAATATATACTTATATAAAAGTTTTCTTTGTTTAAATAATTTTTATTAAAAATAAATATATTTTTTGAAACGTAATTTAGTATTTCTTATAATTTTAACTATTGTTCATAGAGTTGTATTTTTCAGATGATAACTTGCATTATTTGTGAAACGCAATTTCCATTATTTGAAACCAGGGAACACGCTTGTTTTGCTGGCGTAGATGAAAGGAATTTGTTCACGTTCAATGAATATGTTGGTCCTGGTGAAGATATAGACACCTATATCGAGGAAATGTTTCCTGAATATTTAGATGAAAATAATGAGGTAATTAAAATTTGAAATTACTTTCATTTTAATCTCTTAATTCGAAAATTTTTCTTATTATTTATATGTTTAAAACACAAATTTTCCTTGAGAACATATTTTTTGTACATTCTTCTCATTCGTATGTAGAAATCTGTCTCAATTGTATATAGTTTTAATTTTTCAATTTTATAAAGTGGATGCTTTTTAAAATCCCTATCTAGTTCTGTTACTAACTTTGTACGAAAAATTTCTTATCATGTAATCTATTTTGTTATTTCTATTACAGTTTATAAATGGAACAGAACAAAATAAAAAAAGGCGATTAAATCACAATGCTACTTTTGATCGTGAAAATGATGATCTGGAAATAGTGGAGATAGAAAACGTTGAACTCAGTATGTTTTCATTTTATTACCTTCTAAATTTGAATCAGTTAAAAATAACTGATTCAGAAGCAAAAAGTCAGTCACTAATTCTAATAGTAATATTTTAACTGACAATTAGTTGAATGATCGGGATTTTAAAAATTGACCGGAAAATTTTATAAAATATCCGGGATTTCAAATTAAAAAAGAAATTGCCACCCTAAAAAGTTATAAATTTAATTTATCAATTTCCTTTTTACTGAGAAATTATTATTTATTTACAAATATAAATATTAATATTTTATATATTTTTAGATAAATCTGGAAATGCCAAAAAGAGTACCGAAAATTACTTAGTTCTTCTTGAGCTGGTGAAGGAATTTCCAATTATATGGAATCACAAGCTCCCTATTGAACAAAGACCTCCTCTTGCGAAATCTAAGGCGTGGAATAAAATTTTACAAAGTTTTCCAGGTAAAATTACACAGGCCTTCAAAATTTTGAATTATGTTTTTGTCAATATTTGAATGTCTATAAAATCATCAAAATACTATTATACTATTTTGTGTTTTGTTTTAAATGTTGCAGTAAATTACTATATTTTATCTTTCTAAACCATTTTTTTATTTAAATCAGATTTTTTTGATGAGTTATATGAATTTTATTATATATTGTTTAAAAATGTAATCTTAAAAACAATTAAATTGTAAAGTATTTGAGCTGCAACTAATTACTCAAAGGTAATTTTCTGTCGCTAATTTTATATATTTTGTAGGATGGAGCAGAGACTTCATGATTAAAAAATTTCAATCATTAAAAGATGTGTATATGAAAAGAAAAGCCTATGTACCAAGTGGTTCTGCCCAACGTGCACAAAAGTATTGGGTTTTCGAAGATTCATTTTCCTTTATGAAAGGCATCATTGAACCTGCATCGTAAGAAAATTTCTAATTTTCAAATCTATATCACTTTGAATTTTCGAAGAATTTTTCACGAAACAATTGTCGATTAATCAACAAATCATTTCACATGTGAAATGACATGTTAAGTAAATTTAGCACTACATATTTGCTACGCTAAAAAATAATGTATGACCTACGTAATAAAGTCTTGAATGGGTAGCTGTCATATAATTCCAAAAAAACTATCTCTAAAAACGTTAACAAGTATTAAAATTGCATATTCAAAAGTTAAATGCATATTAATCTTATTTATATTTAATTTCTTAATATTATTTATTTTATTCATTTTAGGACAATCAGCAACGTTCCACAAGCTTCGCAACCCAACACATCCGATAATGCCAGTAACAATAACACGGAAAGCGCATTAAAGGATTTGGGATTCGATGGAAGAGGAAAATTGCAAGTAGCAGGTATGACAGATTACTATTTTAGTTTTTCATAATTAATAAGAAACTTTTATAAATTTTATAATATTAAACATTTGCCAAAAATTTTATTTTATTTAAATGACTCTTTGGACTTTTATTAATTTTCTTCCAAAAAATTTAATAAAACACCAATTTTTTGGTATAAAATACAACTTATTTTGATATTTATAGTGTGAAAAATAACTTTACTTAAATAAAACATTCAAAACCAATTTTCAATAATTTCTTTAAGATAATTAAATTCTTTAAATGTATAATTTAAAAAAAATTTAGTTACGTATTTGAAACTTTGTAAATAATATAATACTACATATAATTGATATTGAAGTATTAAATTAAAAATGTTTAAAAATAAAATTTTGAAGAATTTGAATTTCAAAATAAATTTTTACAAAATTTTAATGGAAAATGTTATAAACAATAAAAAAAATATCTACGAAAAATAGTTACACTAAGATTATTTTGAAGTAAAATTTTTAATTATTAAAATTTGGGGGAAAATGATCAATTTTTAAATTGTTAATTAAAATTATTCTAGAAATTGATTGAATATTGAAATTGTTCAAAAAATTATTTTTTCTAAAAATTAGTGAAAGTATTACTGTAATAAAATATGAATTTGGAAAAAGATGAATTATGAGGAACTATGGTTTTGACAAAATTGAATTTTGAATAATTATGTATTTTTGCAGGTACTAGAAAAAGGGCTACGCCATTCGATGCAAAAATTTTAAAGTGCATTGATACTATAACTTCATCGAAACAAGGCCAAACTTTTAGTAGTTACGAGCAGTTTGGATTATCAATCGGAAAAGAAATAGAGAAATTAGAAACTAATTACCAAAGAATGAGTGTCCAAATTAAAATTTTAGAAATTCTGCGAAATGCTGCAAGCAATTATGAGGAATAATATTTTTATAAGCAAAATACTTTAAGAAAAATATGTGATTAACATAATCTAAGTCTTAAAAGACATGACTGATTATCTTAAATACATCCACCTCAAAAATGTTTAATCTAATATTTAAAATATTTATTTCATACGTATAACTCTACAGACTGTTAAACTTCAGAATTGTTGTTAAAAAACACATTAAAAATTGGATGTGTTTGTGAGAAAAAAAGTATTATTTTGATACTCTATGTTATAAAATAGATAGTAATATTTCTGTATGTTTAATGAGAGATAATATTTATGTGTCCTATTTAAAAAGTTAAATACATTAAAAATTATATGTGTTTATAAAAAAGTATTGTTTTGATACTCTATGTTATAAAAAAGATGGTAAGAATATCGTATGTTTAATGAGAAGGAATATTGACGTTTCCCGTTTTCAATACAAAATTTGAAAGAAAAAAGAATGATTTTATTTTAAAAGTGAACCCTCTAAATCTATTTTAAAATACTTTATTTTAAACAATTCAAACAACTAGTACAAGTAAAATTATAATAATAAAAACTTTTTGTATAAATTTATTTATTTCGTAAAATTTTTTTCTGTATTCAACTATTATTTGAAATTTCATCGCGAATTAAAAAGAGACTAACTCCGTATTTTTTCAATTATCACTCCTAGCCATTAGTATATATACAGTCAACTCTCGATAAGACAAAGCGCGATAACTAAAATTTTTCGGTAAGTCAAAGTAATTCTTGGGTCCCGTTTATTCCTTATAAGCATTATTAACATTTGATAACTCAAACTTTTCGGTCTCCCTTCGAGTTTGTCTTATCGAGAGTTGACTGTATATATATATTTATTTATTTACATGTTTTGAAGATGAAAACTTTATAAGAATTTTTTCAAGAGTTTCATTTTAAAATCAATTTTAGAATACCCATCATCTCTATGAGAATAGTTTTGTTATGTCTCTTTTACTATACTTATTGACTTTTAATGTAGTACAAATTATTACATCATTCAACGATTGATCAATTTCCTTCATACATCCTAAAGTTACAATTTAAGCCGACAATCATGAAACTAAGAGACAGACATTAAAAACGTATTTTCATAACATGTTATCACATAAAAAATCATTACCAGAACAAACTGATTACTCTTCGTAAACAGCTCTTTCCTGCCATGACACTTTCCCTGGACCCATAAAATAATCTTTAAAATGATTTTTTATATTTTTAGCCAAATTCTTTTTAGCAGCCGCCGATTGAGGTATAACTAAAGGCTGCAAAGCACTATTGTCAATTTCACTACTGATTTGTTCGTCGATATTTACGGGACAATAATGTCGCATGTCTTGTGGTAACTTTTTCTCTTCTTTTATTATAAAATTGTGCAAACACACTGTTGCCAGTACAATCAATTTTACCACACTCAAATTAGCCATGATTGGTGTACGGAAGATTCTCCAAACCGCAACTAAAATACCAAATGCATTCTCAATTGTTCGACGAGCTCTACTTAGTCTGTAATTAAAAATATTTTTGTCGATTGACAGATTTCCAGTCGTCGCTCCTTTGTACGGTGTTAAACAATGTAAATCATTCTCAAACGCAGCGTCAGCAATGAAGACTAGTGGCATATTAGGACCATCAGCATATAGAGGCATTGGAGGTGGTATATTCAACCGATTTTCTCTGAGTGCTTGGAAAAATGTAGAATTTTTAAAAACACCTCCATCACTTTGACGACCTTTACCTCCAACATCCACCATTGTGAACATGTAGTTGGCATTGCACATTGCTAGAAGAACAATGCTGTGGAAGTGTTTGTAGTTGTAGTAATCCGATCCAGTATCAGGTTGTCCCTGAAAAAGTTTAAAATTACTCAATAAAAATAATTTCAAAATATTTAAAAATCATGCATTGTAAAAATTTAAAATATTTAAATTATAGTAAATAAATTATGCATTATTATTGTGATTTAGCAAACTGTAGCTTATTCACTATTTTAATTACCTGCATTAAAACATGTTTTCCATCCATAGCTCCGTAACAGTTAGGGAACTGCCATTTTTCTTTAAAATCATTAATTGTCTCCATCCAATCACCTGTAGCGTTTGGTAAAACAAGTACTTCAGGTTGCAATGTTGTCCACAGAATCATTAATGTTTCAGGAATAAAAACTTGTATAGTTTTTATTCCCATTCGGAATTGACGTGACAGAGATGTGAAAGACTCACCTGTAGCAAGATATCTAAAACAAGATAAGAAATTAATAAAAAATATTATGAATTTGCCTAATGATTACAATATTGAAGAATAAAAACTCTATTTACTTTACATTCTCATAATAGAATCAAAAGTCGGTTTACTTTTTATTACAAGACATATTCGTTATGTTTTAGTATTGTTTTTGAAAATTTTCATCAAAATAAGACGGAAAAACTAATTTGAGCGTTTTTGCAATATTTTTTAAATAATAAACAGTGGGCAAAGGGACATGCTATGTCTATACGATGTCCTTAAGATATCCTGAGGAAGTTTTTGTTCGTTCAAAAGGACGTTCTAAAGATATCTTATATCCTTAGGTTATAAGATATCTTTCAAACGGATATAGACAATCCTAAAGAAATTCCATGTCCCACTGTCTGCAAGGAATTATTAGAATTATGCGCAGAAAAATTACCTCAAAGTAACAATTAATTTCTCGGATGGTTTAATTATATCGGTTCTAGTAGGACACTTTTGCAATTGAGATCCGACTTTCAATAGTAAAGTTTCGAATGCAGAAACTGACATTCGAAGATGGTTACGAAACATCACTGGATCATACATGGCCATTTCTCTTACTAACGCATTGTGCGCACCTGAAACATTAAGACAATCATATATTTTATTCGTAGATACAATACATTAATATAAATTGTATTTTCTTTATCAACATACCAAACACAGAACGTTGTAGCCAAAGAGGATGTACTCTATACCGTCGATTTCTCTTATTTCTTTCTAGGTATAACTTTCGACTTAAGAGCAAAAAAGCCAATTTACTCTTAACAACCTATAAATTAGTATTATTAAATTTGTTATGCTTTTGTTACTGTTATATTTTTATTTTTATTATTAAAATTTGTTTCTAGACAAATGGTTTCAGTACAAAGTAAAGTAATTCAATTGTATTTAAAAAGAATTCTTACTATTAATAAACAAAATTGATTAAACAATGGTAAATTTTGTTACAATAAAGTGAAAAGCGTGAATCTATAAGAAATAAGTAAAGTTTAATGATGCCCATTTGCCAAATTTTTCTCATAATTTTAAGAATATTTTAGAGTATCTGCAAATTGAAATGAAAATATTTAATAATTTTACTACACAATTTCAGTGACAAATAAATTTATATATATATATAAAGAAGTTTCAAAAAATAAAATCAACAAGTGTCAATATCATAAACAACAAATAATGCACGCATTTGTTAAATATATCCTGTGAATAATATTGAGACGATTAATAAATTTAATAAAAAATATATTACCTCAATTTCTGACGTTTCCATTGTACACTTAATAAATAGTAATTAGTATAGTAATTACTTAGTAAATAAACTAATTAATAAATACAATAGTAATAGACTCCTCGACGAGAAAACGTGTGGTACGCATTACCTTTCCTGAAAACATCACCTTCATCACAACTGCAAACACTTTATCACATTTCTCTTGCACTATTTTCACTTTTTAACAAAACAAATTAACAAAAAAATTTAATTACATTATTTTATTTTATAATGCAAATTTATTTCTTCTCTAAAACTTTATATATTTCACTAATTGCAATTATCAATAATAGATTTTCAAACCATCCCGCCATACATGAATTTTCTATCACGTTCTCCTAGTTAGAAAACTCATTTCAACTTAGAAAACTGTTTCACGTTTCTGAATATACTCAAAAACGGGGAGGTATACAAGCGCCTTAAGGAACAACTCGTGACAGCTCCAACTCTGACATACCCCGACTTTACGTTACCATTCGAACTACACACCGACGCGAGCGATTTCGGTATTGGTGTAGTTCTTACCCAAGTACAAGAAGGGCAAAATCGAGCAATAGCTTACGCGAGCAGAACGTTAACAGCAGCCGAACGGAAATACTTGGTCACCGAAAAAGAATGCCTCGCGGTAATTTGGGTGGTAAAGAAGTTCCGCCATTACCTCGAAGGGTTTCATTTCACGGTCATTACCGATCACAGTTCACTACGCTGGCTCCACAACTTGCATAATCCGACTGGACGGTTGGCCCGGTGGGCGTTAGATCTCCTAGAATACGATTTCGACGTAGTGTATCGCAAAGGTTTAGAACACTTGGTTCCTGATGCACTATCGAGAATGTATGAAGAGGAGATGGCGCTACCGATAGCCGCTATGGAACCGGTGGAAGATGCATGGTATTGCCAACGTGTGAAGGAAGTGAATGAAACTCCGAGAAAATTCCACGGATGGAAGGTAACCGACGGTAAACTTTATCGTTATCGCCCAAACCCGCTAATTGATTCGGTAATCGACGACCTCGACGCGTGGAAATTAGTCATTCCTAAAGAACAGAGAAAAGAAGTGTTTAACGAGACACATTGCGAACCCCAAGCAGGTCACCTTGGGATAGAAAAAACGTACAGACGAGTATCTGTACAGTATTACTGGCCAGGTATGTACCGCGATATCAAAGAATGGGTAGGAACATGCGACACTTGTCAGAAGATCAAACCCGATCAAAGACCCGCGGCAGGACTCATGGGAAAAAGGGTAATACAAACACCATGGTCAGTAGTCGCGACAGATGTTATGGGCCCATGGCCTAAAAGGTCACTAGGATTTCAATATTTAGTAATTTTCGAAGACTTATACACTCGTTGGATAGAATTAGCCCCGATGCGCAAAGCGAACGCGGAAACGATAATTAAAGCTTTCAAGGACTTTATTCTCAACCGATGGGGAGCCCCCCAAGTATTAGTTTCGGATAACGGTACAGAATATGTAAATCAAGCGTTCGAAGGGTTAACCGAAGCGTACGGAATCAAACACGCGTTTACTCCAGTATACCACCCGCAATCCGATCCGGTAGAACGGGTAAACCGAGTAATTAAAACAATGATTTCAGCGTACGTTTCCAAAAATCACACCAAATGGGACGTATACCTAAAAGACCTTAGATTTGCGTATAATACAGCAGTACACGGTAGTACTGGTGTAAGCCCGGCATTTCTAAATACGGGAAGGGAACCTAGGCCGTATAATAATTTACGGTACAGAACGGAAGAACCGACAGAATTCGAAGCGACAAACGAAGACGAATGGTTAGAGCGAATAGAGAAACTAAAAGAGTTACAAGACCTCGTCTCGCTACAAATGGACAGCGCTTTTGACAGACAGAAAATTCACTATGACAAAAGACGTCGAAACGTAGTATTCCAAGTAGGAGATAAAGTCATGTGCAAGAAACAAGTAACTTCATCCGCTAGCAAGAAAATCACACGAGCGTTCGGTGGTAAAAACCAGGGACCGTTTACAGTAATACGAATTTTAGGACCTTCCGTATACGAAATCGCGACAAATGAAGGTAGATCACTAGGTAGGTTCCCTATAAAACTCTTGGTCCCCTACAGAGAACCTAGGGATGGGGGAGAAAGAGATAGCCCATAAGAGGAATCTCTTGAAAATAGAACTCGTCAATGTAAATAAGAAAACTAGAATAGGCATGTTAGTTTTGTTTTAACGGTAAAACATTAACCATCCCAGAAAAGAGCAACAACGTCAACCTTATAACCTGTCGCCACGCCGGTTCATTTATTGAAAATTAGAAAATTAGAGTAATTTAATTACTCTAAACATCTATAATTATTTACCGACAACCATATCGGAATAATTGTCTTAAGAATAACACCTGACTCTAAACCAAAGAGTTCAATTGACGTCTAATAGATGTCACTAATTGCTGATATTGTCGAAATCTTCCTTAATTAAAATTCTTCATCAGCAAATAATTTCCTACATTAAATATACAGCTCTTCGACTAGTGTATGGGCTTGATCTGAGATTATAAGAAACGTGCACGTCCAGGCTGTGTTGGCATGGTGCATTGGTAGGCGTTAGTCCCGCGAAAGGCAGCTATTAACTGGGGTTCGAGTCCTCACAGATGCACAGTGCAGTCGTTCACGCAGCTTATTTTTTCAGATCAAAAATTAAATTCAAAAATATAATTATTTACCGACAACCATATCGGAATAATTGTCTTAAGAATAACACCTGACTCTAAACCAAAGAGTTCAATTGACGTCTAATAGATGTCACTAATTGCTGATATAGTCGAAATCTTCCTTAATTAAAATTCTTCATCAGCAAATAATTTCCTACATTAACTATACAGCTCTTCGACTAGTGTATGGGCTTGATCTGAGATTATAAGAAACGTGAACGTCCAGGCTGTGTTGGTATGGTGCATTGGTAGGCGTTAGTCCCGCGAAAGGCAGCTATTAACTGGGGTTCGAGTCCTCACAGATGCACAGTGCAGTCGTTCACGCAGCTTATTTTTTCAGATCAAAAATTAAATTCAAAAATATAATTATTTACCGACAACCATATCGGAATAATTGTCTTAAGAATAACACCTGACTCTAAACCAAAGAGTTCAATTGACGTCTAATAGATGTCACTAATTGCTGATATAGTCGAAATCTTCCTTAATTAATTATTATATTATCACTTTCTATTACTCCAAATCAAAACGGAGTCAACGATTATTAACTAAATAACTAATTTAGTTACTAACGAACTTATTAACTTATTATTGTTATTCTGATGTTATTTTAACACGTCACTATTTAATATGTTATTATTAAGATTATTATTATTTGTAATTAAAATGTTAAATATTACGATATATTATTTAACTTATTCAAAAATTAGTTTTATTAAGCCTTAAGCTTAATAAAAATGTTTCATACACATTCAATAATTAGTGCATATTCATTTTTGAATTTACGGATGCGTCTTGTTTATCGCGCAACTGGACAAAAAATATTGTGTGCAACTTGGGCAGAAATGTCAATTCTGACCTCGTACGATTGCCACCCTCGCTTCGCTCGTGCGTCAAATTTCGATCTCGGTCAGGAATTGACAACTTTCCGCCCTTGCCACACAATATACTATTACGCCCGCTTGCTGTACTTTTGCGCCCGCTTCGCTCGTGCCCTCAACGCCATATTTTTCATGCAGTTAGGACAAAAAATTATGTTCGCAACCAGGACGCAAAGGTGATTGCTTTTTGGCAAAAGTGTTGGAAGTGTTTAATTGGTCAGTGGAAATAAAATAATGTGCATAAATAGTATATTAAGCAACAAGAGGATAAAGGCAGCCAATTCTTTACGGTGATTTTTGTGACACGAGTGGAGGTCGAGGGCGCCCCTCGAATAAAAAAAAAACTTTAACTTGGTTTTTTTCTTACTAAGTTAAACTGCCTCACACCCCCAATAGCACTGAATGTTCCATTCCTATTCCTGGAATATTCCATTGGAACATTGGGAATATTTTAACAGAATGTTCCTACTCTATTCCAGGAACATTTTAATGTCCCACGTTTGTAACATTCCAATGGAATATACCAGATATATTCCATTGTCATATTTAATACTTTCATAAAATATGGTATAAATATTTCTGTGGAATATACCGGAAATATTCCTCTGGAATATACTGAGTATATTCCTCTAGAACATTCCAGGTATATACCAGTGAAATTAAACGCAATATTTTTGTGGATTATACCAGCAATATAATCCAGGA